GAGAAATATTACTAGAGTTCTGTGTACGAAATAATCTAATAATAATATACACACACTTCCAACATCGCAAAAGAAAACGATATACATGGAAAGCTCCTGGCAGTATAAAAAGAGCACAAATAGACTATATTACACTTCGACGACTATAATGACGCAAGTCAAAAATTTGGCTTTTTGAGATAATACCATCATATAAATTATTTTTTTGTTTTATATACGGTTAAAGCGACACAACTCTAAACAGTATTTATGTATGTCTTTTGATGACTTGTGTTATTATGGAATATATTAAACCAAAATTAAATTTGTTGTTAAAACTGAAATAACTCTAATTTCAACCATAAGATACCTGCTTTTTATTTTAGAAATTAAATTACCGGCGGTCATCAGAACTGCACACTTACCGTTCATAACCGCTCATTTTACATTGCTCAATACCGCACATATTTATTATAATGTTAAAAAGGGAAATTTGAAAGGTCGATAATTCATAACCGCACACATTTGGTTAACAGTTTCTTTCTTCTACACAGTTTGTATGTACAGTTCACGTTACCGGTTTCGTATGACTCCCACATAAAATCTTTTTTTTATCCTGAGACCTACTTGGGGTAATGTTACATAGCAAATCGTGGGATATTTTCGTTTTTATCTGTCCGAGCGAGCGAGTGATCGGTCTCGAGGTGCACTCATTTTATTTTAGATAAATGTATACGTAATTGATATATATATGTATATACATTTGTGCACTATTGAACGGTTTAATTTGGCGAAAATATGTGGGATTAAGATATAAAAGTGTGCCGTTTTGAACGATGACCTGTTTTTAAACGTGTGCGGTCATGAATGACGCCCGAAATTCCTTATCTTAACTTTATTTCGTTAGTATTGAATGTTATCTATATTAACTTGAACATACTGTGCCACGTGCCATGTTTATTAGGTTTTACTTTATTTATCTACTTCTCCAACATCTACTGATTAATTTTATTTTCATGCGTTTTAACTATATTATTATTAATATTATTATTATTGATAATATAGGTGGGTACTATAAAGGCTATAATCTATAATTATTTTATAACGAAAGTATCAATAGTTAGTTTCGACCGTGTGGAAAGTCGTCGCTTGTACCTAATAGTCGTGTTACTTACGTTCGTTTTTATTTTTTTTTGTGATTTGTAATTTAATTAAAACATTATAAATTAATTTTTTGACTAAAAAATGGCATCTAAAAATTTTAATGAGTATCTTGAAGAAGAAATGGTTAGTAGTGATTTTGAGGGCAGCGGTAGTTCTGATTGGGAACCATATAAAATACAAGGTAATATTTTTGTATGTGATACGGATGACGAGGAAAATAATCATAATATTATTACAAGTAGTCACAACAATATTAAGGTAAACCATAATAATATCAATACAGACATAAGTGTAATTTCTAATGCGTCATCTTTATCTTCGGATTCTGAAGTAGAGGTTCAGAAACGAAAAAAAAAAGAATCAAGAAACATGGGAAAAAAATAAAAGACAGAAATTCTATGGCACAATATAATTGTATCAATAGAAAAATTATTGAAGGTAAAAATATAAAAGAACCTTGTAATTCAAAATGTCGATCTAAATGTACAAAAAAATATCCGAAAACGAGAGAACTTTAATTTTTACGAAATATTGGAAGTTAAGAAACTTATCATGACAACGGGAATTTATAAGTCGGCATATCTCCGAAATTAATCCTAAACAAGATAGTAACCGATCGTTAAATTACGGATATAGTTTTAATATTAAAGGTCTTCTAGTATAAGTATGTAATACCTATTTTAAAAATACTTTAAATATTACAGATTGTACAATTCGAACTGTTAGAAGTAAACTTCAAAATGGCTTTTTGGCTGAAGATTTTCGAGGAAAACACAAAAATCATACAACTATTAACCCGTTAATTAAGGATTCCGTCTGCAATCATATAAAACTTTATCCGACCATTGAATCGCATTATTTAAGGAAACAAACCTCGCGTATATTTATGTCTGGAGAGTTAAATATTTCAAAAATGTATCGCATGTATGAACAATATTGTAAAGAAAATGGTATGTTAAAGTGGTCAAATTTAACTGCAAATCAGCGTATTTTTAATTATGATTTTAATATCGTTTTTCATATTCCAACAAAAGACAAGTGCAGTGAATGCGAAACCTATAAAAATACAATACAGAAAACACAAGCAATAGAAAAAATAAAGTTAAAGCATGATTTAGAAAAAAATTCTTCGTGAAAAAAAAAAGAAATGGATAAACAATTCATAAATGGAACGATATTTTCTACATTTTTTGATTTGCAAGCAATATTGACTACACGTTTTGACGAGATTTCAAACTTTTATTATAAAAGAAGACTAGCTACGTACAACTAAACAATTTACAACATGAAAAATGGTGATGGGGCATGCTATGTTTGGAACGGAAATATTGCCAAGCGAGGTGCAAACGAAATCGGATCATGCCTATTGAACTTTTTACACACTTATTTTAATGGTACTGCAGAATCACCATCTAAAATGATTTTTTATACTGACAACTGCGCCGGACAAAATAAAAATAAGTTTATTACTAGTTTGTATATTTGTATTGACTATGAATATTCAATCAATCCATCACGAATTTCTTATAGTTGGACACACTCAAAATGAGGGTGATTGTATGCACTCTGTCATCGAAATATAAAAAAAAAAGTGTTGAGAATTAGTCAAATATACATCCCAGCACAATGAATAACACTTATTAAGATAGCAAAACAACACTGTAAAGCGTATGACGTAAAAGAATTATCAACGGAAGATTTCTATGATGCATTGTGAACTTCAATTTAAAAAAATACAAAAGAAACAAGAAGAAATGCTTACAACTGGCAAACTTGAAAGTGGAAGAAATCAAAAACTCATACAAAGAAAAGACAGATAGAACTATGATGGAGACTTTTGACATACAGAGTAGTTCAAACATCGAGGAAAAATGGGGAAATATCAAACGATGCATAATAGACCATGCGAATGAAATTTTAGGGAAATCTAAAAGAACTAATAGAAAATAATGGATAAACGAGGAAATTCTTGAAATGATTAATAAAAGGAGAAGATATAAAAATGATACAGACCAAAGAAGGATGAAAAAATACGAGAAACTAAAAAATGCAATAAATAGAGAATGCAAAAAAAGCAAGGAAGTATTCTTAAATAACATTTGCCAGGATATTAATGAAGCGTTAAAAGTTGGACTAAATGATAAGGCGTATGGGATGGTTAGAAGATTTTTTAAGGAAAGAAAAACCAAAACGGCGAGTATTAAAGAAGCAAATGACAATAATATATATAAAGAAGCAGAGGTTGCAAAATATTGGAAAAAGTACTTAGAACAACTATATTGCGAAGAAAATACGACAATAGACACAGAGATAGTAGAAAAAAGTCAGAGTGATACAGAAGAAGTAGACCAAAGTATAATGAGAAAAGATTTTGGATAAGGTATAATTGTAGCTAAAGAACAAAAAAGCACCAGGAATTGATGAAATTCCGACAGACCTTTTAAAAGATTGTGGAGAAAATAGCAAGGTTAATAGCATAGATAAAATGGAAGAAAAAGACTGCGAGCATCATGGAAGTTTCTTAGTAAAATGGGGCGATCGCCCCCCCCCCTAAATCCGTATTTAAGAAATTATATATTAAGGAATTTATATGTGAGATACACATTTCAAATTTTTTTAATGTAAATAATTTTATTACGAAATAAAATTACGCTTGGCTGTGAAAATTGAATTGGGCTTTTTGTCGGATACACATACTTAGTGAAAAATCTAATAAAACACAAGCGTAACTTTTAAAACACAGACAGGTGTTAAAAAAGACCTACACTGAAGTCAATTCTAAGTGGATCCGGCATTAGATTGAAAAAAAAACAGGCATATTAAGTATTCATCTGATTTAAATATTACCAAACATTTTAATTATACATTTTGAGCCTGAATAAAAGAAAACATTTCAGTCACTCCCCCCCCCCCCCCCCATAGAAGTAAGTCTAAGTCCCTGTCTAGCGTTCGAAACTTGGTGTTACAGAAGGCTACTAAGAATAAGTTGGACAGAAAACATAACAAATGAAGAAGTATATCGAAGAGCAGGTGAAACAAGGAGTTTTTAAAAGACATTAAGAACAAGAAGAGCCAATTTAATTAGACTAATTGGACACGTACTGCGTTATAACAGTCTACTAAGCAGAATAATAGAAGATGCCATTGAAGGGAACTACAGCAGAGGGAGACTAACACTGGACTACATTAGTCAAATAGTTTGAGATAAGGACTGTAGATCTTATTGCGAATTGAAAAGGAAAACTGAGAAGCGTCAGGAGTGGAAAATTGCTGTCAACCAGCCTCACGGCCATTATCAAAAGAAGATTGAAAATTAAAAAGAATACTTTTTTTTTAATTATATTTATCATATGCAATTTTATGAAAACTGAATAAAAAAAAATCATATATAAATTACAGTAAATCTGACATTTAAGTGCATAAAAACAATCCCAATGAAAAAATATATATACTCTAATTAGGGTTAAATGGAAAATATTCTTAAATAAGATTTTATATATTTTCATAATCAATAATGTTAATTAAGATATGTTATAAATTATTAGTATATATGTATATATATATATATGTATATATATATTAGTATATATATATATCTCACTTATATTATCGCTTAATGTAAATATTATTTTTTTTTGTAATTAATTTAACTCATTAATTGAAGTTAAGTTAAGTTAAAGATATTTTTAACTTAATTTTTAACTAAATTGATGTGATTATCATGTGAATTAACTTAATTGAATATGAGCTCAATTAATTTAATTTAACTGAGTTAAAAAATATCATTACCTTGCCCAGCCTTGATTTTTTTTAAGAAGTTTTTTCTTTTCTTATTCTCTATAATATTATGTTAACAGGCAAAACCACTCAACTGCTGGCTAGCGTATTCGCTGGATGCTGTTTTGTCGGCGTAGCCGTCACCGCAACGTTTATGACGCGCATTCGTCTGTTTGTGTACGCGTCTGCATCCGAGAAACGCAAATCGAATAATGCTCGATCGTTTGCAGCAGTTTGCGATTCCTTTCGCAACACCAAGCTTCAGCTAATCGCTCCGCTTTCTGTGTTCATCGGACTGGAACAGGGATTTATCTATTCCGATTTTTCCAAGGTATACCACATATTACTTATCTGAATTGTAAAGTGCGTACAGACCACTGTATAGACGGTTTATATAAATATTATATAAATATAAATTGATTCGTAAGATATTGAAATGACCATTGTTTATTTAGGAGTCCTAGATTTTAATATACTTAATAATTTAATACGTTCTCAAATATAAACTTATATAAGTTTACAGCACATTCCGTTACAATTATAAAATAAGTAAGCTATTTCGAGAAAACCCTCTTTTAGAGTTGATATATTATTCTTTGAGTATTTAATAAAATGGATTTTCTAACTTTGAAACAGTATGTTCTATGATAAAAGATTCAAAAGAATCATAACTAGTTACAAGATTCACTTCGATAATATAATCATTTATAAGGATTTTAATAAGATTTGAAATTCTTGAGGTTGGAGTTTCAAAAATTAATTCACAAAATAATAATTTATATTATCTTTAAAAGAAAATATTAATATAGCCTTTTGGATTTAGCGTAATACACTTTTTTATGGAATAAAGTCATATGAATCTATATAAATATATATAATATCATTAAACTGCTAATTGGATTCTTCGAAACCTATATATTTGGTACATATTTGAATTCTTAGCAGTATTTTTGTTATTTTTCAAGAAATTATTTTTTTTTTTTTTTTATTGTTAAAGCATCAACATCATGGTTATTAGCTTACAAGATTATATAGTTATGTACATAAGGGGGTTTTTACAGTGGTGTTTAAGGGGAAAAAGAGAAAATATAAAAATACATAGTACAAAATAAATTATAGAAATTGGTTAAATTAAGTTGTACATTTCAATTTTTTTAACAAAAGAGATTATTTTTGGTATGTCTGCATAAGGTCCTATAGCTTCATAAAGATTGTCAGGTATTTTGCATTCTTTTCTGGCTTCCGTGAAGATTTGGCAGTGGATAATGATATGTTTGACTGTCATGGGAGAATTGCAAGAGCGGCATATAGGAGGTTCGGTCTTTTCCATTAGGTATCCATGAGTTACTCTCGTGTGGCCAATTCTAAGTCGGTTAATGATAACATTTTCTTTTCGATTTGGAAGATTGAGTTTTGGCCAAGGTTCGACTGAGTGTTTGATTTCTCTTAATTTGTTATCGGTAACTTGACGCCAATCTGAGTCCCATAATTGCATGCAGTATTTGTCGACGTTTCTGATTATATCAACTGGAGACATAAGAGAAAGTGTTAAGGAGTTGGGTTACTTATAGCATTTCGGGCTGCTTTGTCAGCTTCTTCGTTTCCTCTGATATTGCTGTGACCCGGAGTCCATATGAAACGTATGTATTTATTGGATAAATGTATTATATTTTTTATCTTTGTGACTAAGGGATTGATCTGAGTATTATATTTTATATTTGACAGGACACTGAGTGAGTCGGAACAAATGTCGATTCTTTCATAATTTGTTTTAACAGCTGTTTGAACACCTTATAAGAGTGCTATGTATTCAGCCGTATAAATACTGCTATGACTATTTAATTGGAATACTTGAGTAGAACTTTTATGTATAACTGCCAGACCTATGCCCAGAGGTGGATTTATCTTTTTTACGACTATAGGCACCAACAATTTGCCGCCCCTATATAGGCGAAGAAGTTATAGTACCCCTTCCGAAACACCTAATCTAAATATTAAATATACAAACGTATGAACATTCGTTTGAATTTTTAGACTATTTTTTTCGTTTTAATTAATTAGTCTACTTTGAAAAAATGCCATTGGATGTTCCCCAAATTTTAATAAAAACAGATTTTCATAATAACAGCATAGGATTATTAACATACATTCGAATTAGTATTATAGTGTGGCAGTGGGTATATTTATTTTTCCCCGAAATTCTGACGATAACATATTAACAAAATGCACCCATTATTATACAATTATTTTTCGTAAATATAAAATAAATCATTTTCCAATTTTTTTAGCATACGTTTAATGTTTTCTAATAAAACATTACAGAATTAGCCGCCCCTAAACTTTGCCGCCCTAGGCAGATGCCTACAGTGCCTAATGGGAAATCCGCCTCTGCCTATGCCTGTTAAAGTTTTGGATGCATCTGTATAGATTTGTGTATTATTATGTTTATCCGTATCCGTATGAATTAGTTCATTAAATAAGTTCCGATAGACTATTTCGGGTGTTTCTTTTTTTACATGGGTACTAAGACTGGTATCAATTTCGTATTGATTTAAACTCCATGGGGGAGTAAGGCAGGTCTCATATTGAAGGATTGTATCTGGGGAGATATTGTTGTCGGACATTTCTTTACGAAATCTTGTGCTTAGTGGTTTTCTAAGATTTGTGTTTAAATCATGTATAGATGGAGATTGGTTTATATTTAGATAATGAATAGTTGAATTATCAGGAGTGGACAAAATTCTGATTATATATTTGAGTGATAGTCTTAGTCTGCGATATTGAAGTGGAGGCTCCCCAGTGATGGCTAATAGGCTGGAGATAGGGCTACTTCTGAAGGCTCCAATCGCACATCTTATACCGGTGTTATGGGCTGGGTCAAGAATTTTGGATAAATTACAATTAGAATTTCCATAGCAGATTGAGCCGTAATCTAGTTTTGATCTAACTAGTGTTCTATATACATTTAATAAAATGGAATACTCGGCACCCCATTCTAGATGACTAAGTGTTTTAATTACTCTTAGGTTTTTGTAGGCTGATTTTTTGGTTTTCAAAATGTGAGGTTTCCATGTTAATTTAGAATCGAAGGTAAGACCAAGAATAGTGATGTTTTCAGTAAAAGGCAAGCAGATGGAATTTAAGTAGATTTTGGGTATGGTTATGTTTCTTTTTTTGGAAAAAAGGATACATTTGGTTTTGTGTGGAGAAAAAATAAAGTCTGAATTATGGCACCATTTTGACACTTCATTGAGACAGTCTTGTAGTACTTTAGTTATTGAAGAGATTGAATTCCCTCTAACGAAGATGTGTATATCGTCAGCAAAAATAATTGATTGAATTGGTTTAGATATGAAGTCGGGGAGATTGTTGATGGCAGTTTGAAATAGGAAATCACTGAGCGGAGATCCTTGAGGTACTCCATTTTCTAGTACAAAGGTATTAGAGGTGTAATCTCTGATTTTTAATTGAAAGGTTCTTTGGCTTAGGAAGTTAGTTAGGTATTTTATCATATTACCGTGAATATTCCATTTTTTCAGCAATTCGGTTACTATGTAACGCCAAACAGTGTCATAAGCTTTTTGTAAATCTAAGCTTATAAGAATCATTATTTGTTTATTAGCAAATGTCTCCAGTATTTCTGATTCATTTTTACGTGGCAGTCAGTGGTGGAATGGTGCTTTTTGAATCCATGTTGGAAAGGTGATAGAAGATTATGTTTATTCGCAAACCAATATAGTCTGTTGTATACTATTTTCTCTAATAGTTTACTCATGCTACACAGGACAGAAATTGATCGGTAACCGGTTGGTTTGAATCTATCATTGTTTTTTTTTGGGTATAGGGGTTATAATAGCATTTTTCCATTTGATTGGTAATATCCCCAATCGCCAGATCTGGTTGAATAGTTTAAGTAGTAGGAGGTTGCCACTTGGGGGGAGGTTTTGTAAAAATATAAAAGGTATTTTGTCAGAACCACAACTGTTGCTCTTTTTACCTAGTAGACCTGTATTTAGTTCACTTAATGTTATCGGTTCATTTAGAATGTCCCCTAAGCTTTGGTTCTTATATATGAAAGGAGAATTATTAGTTTCTGTTTCTTGTTTATATTTTAGGAAGTCAGAATTTAAGTTGGCATTGCTACTATTTGAATAGAAGTGATGCCCAATTGACTGGGCTATTGTATGAGGGTCGGTATGAATTGCATTGTCTGTTAAAATGGTTTTAATTTGTACCGATGGGATCCCTTTTATGATTTTAACTTTGTTCCAAATTTTCGTAGCTGACTCTTTGGAATTTAGTGTTGAGGTGAAATGTATCCATGATTTTTTTTTTAATTTTTGATTAAAAATCTTACTTGTGCTCTGTTTTTTTTTTTGAAATCAATAAAGTCCTGGATTTGTTTAGTGCGTTTGTATTTATTAAACGATGTTTTTTTATTTCTTATAGCGTTTTTAATATCTTTATTCCACCAAGGGACCGGGGGGCGTTTTCCAGAGTAGCTATGTTGTTCAAAATTATTTGCGGCTGTATCATAAATTAGTTTACTAAATTGTTCAATATTTTCATCAACAGTATTTTCATTAGGAAAAAATGAATTTATTAGATTTTTTTCGATTTCCGTTTGGAACTTGTTCCAATCAGCATTTGATAAATTCCATTTAGGGTTACGGGTGTGTATTTCATATGGGTTGGTATAACATACGGTTATTTTAATTGGGAAGTGATCACTACTAGAAAGCTCCGGAATAACGTCCCATTCTAAATTGGGTGATATTGTTGCAGAGGAGAAAGATAGATCAATAGCGGAAAGGTTGCCATTACTGGAGTTCACTCTTGTTGCTTGGCCGTTATTGAGAATGTTGATGTTATTGGTATTAAGAATTGTTTCAATTTTGGTTCCTCTTGGATCGGTGTCATTACAACCCCACAGAGTGTTGTGGCTATTGAAGTCACCCAGGACGATAAATGGGGTGGGTAGTTGATCAATAATATTTTGGATATCTAAAGCGTTGAAGTCTTGAGAGTTAGGTAAGTAAATATTGCAAATGGTTAATTTGCTTTTAGCTGTAATGTTTACAGCTATTACCTCGAGATGTGACGTTATGGGAATTTCTTTCGAAGGGACAGTATTGTTTATAAAAATGGCAACTCCACCGCTGGCCCTTCCTGCGTGGTTTCTGTTTTTAATATAGCTTGAATAATTATTTAAATGTATTGATTTGTTGTTGTTGAAGTTTGTTTCTTGGATGCACAGTGCTATTGGAGAGAATTTGTTGAGTAATAGTTTAATTTCATCGATTTTTGAATAAAATCCATTTGGATTCCATT